AAAATCTTATACTATTAATGCTTTTGTCTATAATTTATTTTACTAGTAACAGAATGTATGATTAATTTCTTTCTGTAAATTTTCATCAAGTCAAATAAAAATCGGTAGATCGGTTTGCCACTCGTGATAGAAATAACATGTAGTTCTAAATCTAAAGTTATTTCAGTAATAGCATCAATGAGTCGAAAAACACGATAATATCATGCTTTAAAATAACAGGAACAGTTAAGGATTTATCTGTTTTATTCTATTTTTTTTTTTTAATACAGTGTTATAGTATATATGTATTTGTATATCATTTAAATGTAATGAGGAATTGTGAAGCAAATATGACATAGTTCGGGTATTACATCAACAAGTCATCGACAAGAATCAACAGGTATAGACTAGCTTATATACTTCACCAATGTTATGATACTAAAAAACATATTATTAATCTCTTTTTTCTTTTTTAATTATAATTTAAGTTTCAGTGTTTGAAATGAAATTGTTGTTATCTGGTTTATTTCCAAAAAACAACTGTAGGCAGTTTTGTATAATATAATATAACTAATATCTGTGTATCTAAATAATATTATAATTAAATTTATATATATATATATGTATATATAAGAATTAGAAAAAATCGTTTACTTACTTCTGTCTTCGATAATACCGCCTGTTGCTTCCTCGTATCATTAATGTTTTAAATTAATTCCGAATATGTATATATATTTAAAAAAAATTTTAATTCTTATGAAGAAGTACTTTATTTTCACAACATATTGATAACAGTTCCTACGAGATAGCCTGGTGAAAGGAGATGAGGGAACTGAAGCGAACGGGTCAATACTTGTCGGGCATGCTCATTCATACCCAGGAGTTTCCAAACCGAGGCAAATGTTCAACTTGTAGAAAATTAATTATATTTTCGAATTTATGAAAACAGATTTTAATGTGCTGCTCTTTCACGTACTCGGAATTAAATAAAAATATCTACACTTATAATCAGTGCTTTGACGAGTTCAGTCCCATTCATGGAACCGTATTGAATAACAAATAATATCATTGAGCTAGAAGCAACAAGCATCAATGGACAGTTCAGCTCCTCTTAATCGGCAACCATTAACAAAGTTAATTGTCTCTTATCTTTTAATTTTGACTTCAAGGACATTAACATTCAATTTGAATTAATCTATTAGATTGTATCTGGGTTAAGAATGTCATATCCGAAACAATAAATCGTCTATTCATTCTTTAATTTACCGATTCGAGTGCAATAAATTTATTTGTACACAGGATTAATACATAACAAAGTGCATCTTGGGTCCATTGACTGAACAGCATTCGAAAGCTCTAAAAACTTACAATTTGTCATTAAAATCTGACACAAAGAGACTTTCTTTAACCACATTATTTAAATTTTTTTTTAAATGCCAAGTATTTATATTGTTTTTAGAGAAAGTATTTAAATACATAGTAGAATAGAATAGGATATATAATAATTTTACTCTGGGACTAAGTCCCTTTAGAATAACAAAAAAGTACAAAATTAAAATATTACATCTGGCCTAAATAAAAACAAACAGAAAATAAAAAGAAAGAGAAATAAGTAAATAAAAAAGTTTAACATACAATGTACAAAATTTAAAAAAAAATGTACATACAAAACACTTGAAACTATGCCAAGACACTTAAAAATATGTACAGTGGTAAAACATAAATATACACTTTAAGAAAAATAAATAAAAAATACATTCAATTCTTCTTAGTAATAAACTCTGTGTTTCTGTAGAAAAAAAAAGAAGAAAACTGAATCTGATGGTAAAAATCGTCGGAGTATTTAACTGATGAGTTATATGTAAATATATCAGTATGCGAATCTGTACATCATTATGAATAATATGTAATTTTACATAAAAAGTTAGCGGGTATCTGACGAGCAATAAACGAGTTTTGGAATGAAGCAGATCTGTGAAAAGGGATGTAAAGGACGGAAGGTAGAGATCTTGTGGAAAGGGAATGGACTGAGGACTTGAATTGGAGAACATTGTAAGAAGGACGATGATTGTTGATGATTTGATACAGGAACGTACCTAGAAAATATTATCTTCGAATGACCCCTAAAACAATAGTTTACCCTAAAACATCACAGACCTAATCCACACCAACGCCGTGCCAGATCATTATGGCAACGTACCAAACATCCTATTGATTGCCGCTCCTACAATTATTATTGTAAACAACTAAAGCAGGAATTATCTTCCTTCAGATCCCAATCCTTTGATACCTACCTTATTCTCTCTCTGTTCACGATAATTTCCTCTGGAAAACCAACACCAAAAAAAAAAAAAAAAATCTAAAATCCCATTACATTTCCCACCCCTTCATCGATGCGATGACTACTGGTCAGCGTCTGATGAAGACAAAGCTGAGGAATTCGCTAGACATCTCTCCATTACATTCACTCCTCATTCATAATCCCATCCAAGCCATACCGCAAAAGTAGAAGAATTCCTCTCTTCACCGACTCCACTCTCCTTACCACCTAAAGCAGTTAATCCATCTGAGGTCAAACATCACTTACAAAAACTGCCTCTCCGTAAATCTCCTGGATACGACCTCCTAAACCCACAGGTCCTTAGACAACTTCCACCCAAAGCTATCATATTCCTTACATATATTTATAATTGCATCTTAAGGACTACCCACTTTCCTCTCCTATTGAAACATTCCACCATCATCCTTTTCCTGAAACCAGGCCAATCTGCCAAAAATACATCGTCTTATAGACCAATTAGCTTACTCCCAGTCCTATAAAAATTTTTTGAAAAGATCCTGCCGAAAATAATCCTACCCATAATAGAACTCCATAAAATTCCGCCCCATCAATTCGGATTTCGTTTTCAACATTCCACTGTACAACAAGGACTCCGAGTTGTCGACCATATATCCTCAGCGCTAGAAAAGAAGCAGTACTGTTCGGGTGCATTTCTGGACATAGCACAGGCTTTTGATTGGATATGGCAAGCTGGATTGCTCTTCAAGCTTAAATTCCATCTACCACAGCCCTTATATCTAATAATTGTGGGCGGGGTGGCCGAATGGGCTAACGCGTATTCATTGCACCGCCATTGCCCGGCAACCTGATACATAAGACTTTGATAAAAAAATAGTCACGAGTTCGCGTCCCGGTGCCCGTAGGAGTTTGTAAATCTCCGCCCACACTCCCTGGCCCGGGAAAACCTCCATATAATCTTAAAGGCAAGGAAGGGAAGGACAAAAAACAAAAAACAACAACATTATATCTAATACTCCGATCCTACCTCTCTGACCGGTCCTTTCAAGTTCGCTGTGCCACTGAATTCTTGGGTTCAATCCTTTACATTCTTTTCACCGCAGATATTCCTGCCAATACTGATACCCTCCTGGCAACATTCGCTGATGATACCGCTATCCTTTCAACCAATTCAGATCCTAAAACAGTGCCATTAAACCTACAAATACACATCTCCCTGATTGAACATTGGTGTAAGAAATGGGGCATTAAGATAAACGAATCCAAATGTAAACACATAACCTTCACCCTTTGTCGTAAAACCTGTCCACCAGTTTATTTTAACACCATCCAGCTTCCTCTCTCAGATACTAAACCGACGCTACGGCCATCTATATAGACTACTCAATAGAAAATCTTAACATTCAGTTGAGAACACCCGTTTAGTACTGATCTAATGAGACAATACTGAAACCTATTTGGCTGATATTCCCAATCTACAAAGTCATCTCTACAAAGATATCTTTCAACCTACAAAGTCACCTCTCTCTTATTGAACACTAGTGTTATAAGTGGCGCATCCAAGTAAATGAATCCAAATCCAAACACACCACCTTCACCCTTCGGAGCAAGTCCTGTCCGCCAGTTTATTTCTACTCTATACCACTTTCCCCCTCCGACACAGATCGGTATCTTGGCTCCTTCTAGACAAAACACTAACATGGAACCCACATACCAGACTTAAAAGATAACAGCTTAACCGATGATATAGCCAACTATATAGACTACTCAATAGAAAATCTTAACTTTTAGTTGAGAACAAACTATTTATCTACAAGACAATACTAAAATCTATTTCTACTTACGGACTAGAACTGTGAGAAACAGCAAAATTTCCTAACAACAAGCGCATCCAATCCTTCCAGTCAAAAGTCCTTCGAACAATAGTCGATGCACCTTTCTATGTAACCAACAAAACCCTATATCGTGACCTCAATATCCCATATGTCACCCCCAGAAAAATTCTCAAAATTTCACGAGGACCTTACGTATCATCCAAATCCTCTTGCACAATCCGTATCAAGCACCAACGATCCATATAATCCTCCAAGAAGGTTGAAACGGTAGTGGACTCGCGATCTTTTGTAAATATATATGTGGAGCATCTGTTGGTCTAGTGTCCTCCATCAGTCTCCACTGGCTTACAATACCAGTGATGCGGCTGGGAGAGAAGCATTAGGATCTCCTGGAGTCCTACTTTGGATTCCACATTTGGCGGACAAAACTTGATTCAGAGTCCCCTGGGCTAATGTAAATATTGGACATAGGTGTGAATGTGTTTTATTTATTTAATTGTAAATCAGCTTTAATCTGATATTTTATTTATCTTATATATTACTTTGTCTTTTTATTTATATATATTTTTTTCTTTTCTTTTTTTTCTAACTCTTATTATTTATATTTATTTTCCTTTCTTATGTATATATTGTGTGAATGCAGAGCAAGTGAAATGCTTCACTTTCAGGATGGAAGATTGTATTAATACTCAATAAAAAAAAACTTATTAACATAATCGTTTTTTTTATTTACTTACATAATTTTGTAAGCAGTGCAATTATAATAGAAAAAATATCTAATTTCAATGAAAACAATCAAACAATTATTACAGCGTTCTCTTATAAAAACAAAAGAATTCTTCACAATTTTCTTTAAAGTGTTATAGACTATCAAGTTGATAATGTTACTAAACCCCTCCATTTGATTTAAGATAATTCACTACACCAGCATGTCCGCATTCTGCTGCGAAATATAGTGCAGTCAATCCGCTATTACTCTCATCATTGATAGGCGCCCCTCGGCCAAGAAGAAGCTTCACCACATCTAAATGGCCATTATAAGACGCTTCCATTAGTGATGTCCAGCCAATATTAGACTTAGATGTTGGATCTGCTCCACGATCTAACAGTATTCTCACCAAATCAACATGTCCTTTTTCTACTGCATATTTTAGCGCAGTAATTCCTCGCTTATTCTTATCGTTGATAGGCGCTCCTCGGTCAAGGAGAAACTTTACCACATCCAAACGGCCATGAATAGATGCCTCCATCAGTGGCGTTATGCCATAAAATACTGCAGTTTCTCCGCCATTATCCTTATAGCTTATAGGCGCTCCTCGGTCAAGGAGAAGCTTTACCACATCTAAATGGCCATTACTAGATGCTTCAATTAGTGGTGTCCAGCCAACATTTGACTTAGCTGTTGGATCTGCTCCACGATCTAACAGTAGTCTCACCATGCCAACATGTCCTCTTTCTGCTGCATATTTTAGTGCTGTTCCTCCACCATTATCCTTATAGTTTATTGGCGCTCCTCGGTCAAGCAGAAGCTTTACCACATCTAAATGGCCATTGATAGATGCTTCAATTAGTGGTATCCGGCCAACATTTGACTTAGCTGTTGGATCTGCTCCACGATCTAACAGTAACCTCACCATGCCAACATGTCCTCTTTCTGCTGCATATTTTAGTGCTGTTCCTCCACCATTATCCTTATAGTTTATAGGTGCTGCTCGGTCAAGCAGAAGCTTTACCACATCTAAATGGCCATTGATAGATGCTTCAATTAGTGGTGTCCAGCCGAAATTTGACTTAGCTGTTGGATCTGCTCCACGATCTAACAGTATTCTCACCACACCAACATGTCCTCTCTCTGCTGAATGTTTTAGTGCAGTAATACCACTACCATCCTTATCATCGATAAGCGCTCCTCGGTCAAGAAGAAGCTTCACCACATCTAAATGGTTATTACTACATGCTTCCATTAGTGGTGTCCAGCCATTAATTGATTTAGCTGTTAGATCTGCTCCACGATCTAACAGTAATCTCACCACGTGAACATGTCCTCTAGTTGCTGCATGTTTTAGTGCAGTAATTCCGGCATCATCCTTATCATTGATAGGTGCTCCTTGGTCAAGCAGAAGTTTCACTACATCTAAGTGGCCATTATGAGATGCTCCAATTAGTGGTGTCCAGCCAACATCTGACTTAGATGTAAGATCTGCTCCACGATCTAACAGCATTCTCACAACGTCAACATGTCCTTTTTCTGCTGCATGTTTTAGTGCAGTAATTCCGCGCTTATCCTTATCATTGATAGGCACTCTTTGGTCAAGGAAAAGCTTTACTACATCCAAACGGCCATGAATAGATGCCACCATTAGTGGCGTTATGCCGTCACCTCTTTTAGTTGTTAGATCAGCTCCACGGTCTAACAATAAAGCCACCGCGCCAACTTGACCTAGTTCTGCTGCATAAAATACAGCAGTTCCTCCGCCATTATCCTTATAGTTTATAGGCACTCCTCGGTCAAGAAGAACCTTTACAACATCTAAATGACCATTGATAGATGCTTCAATGAGTGGTATCCGGCCAACATTTGACTTAGCTGTTGGATCTGCTCCACGATCTAACAGTAACCTCACCATGCCAACATGTCCTCTTTCTGCTGCATATTTTAGTGCAGTTCCTCCGCCATTATCCATATAGTTTATAGGCGCTCCTCGGTCAAGCAGAAGTTTTACCACATCTAAATGGCCATTGATAGATGCTTCAATTAGTGGTGTCCAGCCAAAATTTGACTTAGCTGTTGGATCTGCTCCACGATCTAACAGTATTCTTACCACTCCAACATGTCCTCTCTCTGCAGAATGTTTTAGTGCAGTAATTCCACTACCATCCTTATCATCGATAAGCGCTCCTCGGTCAAGAAGAAGCTTCACCACATCTAAATGGTTATTACTACATGCTTCCATTAGTGGTGTCCAGCCATTAATTGATTTAGCTGTTAGATCTGCTCCACGATCTAACAATAATCTCACCACGTGAACATGTCCTCTAGTTGCTGCATGTTTTAGTGCTGTGATTCCGGCATCATCTTTATCATTGATAGGCGCTCCTCGGTCAAGAAGAAGCTTTACTACATCTGAATGGTCATTATGAGATGCTACAATTAGCGCTGTCCAACCAACATTTGACTTAGATGTTAGATCTGCTCCACGATCTAACAGTGTTCTCACAACGTCAACATGTCCTTTTTCTGCTGCATGTTTTAGTGCAGTAATTCCGCGCTTATCCTTATCAATGGCAGGCGCTCCTCGGTCAAGGAGAAGCTTTACTACATCCAAACGGCCATTAATAGATGCTTCAATTAGTGGTGTCCAGCCAACATTTGACTTAGCTGTTGGATCTGCTCCACGATCTAACAGTAGTCTCACCATGCCAACATGTCCTCTTTCTGCTGCATATTTTAGTGCTGTTCCTCCGCCATTATCCTTATAGTTTATTGGCGCTCCTCGGTCAAGCAGAAGCTTTACCACATCTAAATGACCATTGATAGATGCTTCAATTAGTGGTATCCGGCCAACATTTGACTTAGCTGTTGGATCTGCTCCATGATCTAACAGTAACCTCACTATGCCAACATGTCCTCTTTCTGCTGCATATTTTAGTGCTGTTCCTCCACCATTATCCTTATAGTTTATAGGTGCTGCTCGGTCAAGCAGAAGCTTTACCACATCTAAATGGCCATTGATAGATGCTTCAATTAGTGGTGTCCAGCCGAAATTTGACTTAGCTGTTGGATCTGCTCCACGATCTAACAGTATTCTCACCACACCAACATGTCCTCTCTCTGCTGAATGTTTTAGTGCAGTAATACCACTACCATCCTTATCATCGATAAGCGCTCCTCGGTCAAGAAGAAGCTTCACCACATCTAAATGGTTATTACTACATGCTTCCATTAGTGGTGTCCAGCCATTAATTGATTTAGCTGTTAGATCTGCTCCGCGATCTAACAGTAATCTCACCACGTGAACATGTCCTCTAGTTGCTGCATGTTTTAGTGCAGTAATTCCGGCATCATCCTTATCATTGATAGGTGCTCCTTGGTCAAGCAGAAGTTTCACTACATCTAAGTGGCCATTACAAGATGCTTCAATTAGTGGTGTCCAGCCAACATTTGACTTAGATGTAAGATCTGCTCCACGATCTAACAGTATTCTCACAACATCAACATGTCCTTTTTCTGCTGCATGTTTTAGTGCAGTAATTCCGCGCTTATCCTTATCGTTGATAGGCGCTCCTCGATCAAGGAGAAACTTTACTACATCCAAACGGCCATGAATAGATGCCTCCATCAATGGCGTAATGCCGTCACCTGTTTTAGCTGTTAGATCTGCTCCACGTTCTAACAATAAAACCACCGCTTCAACTTTGCCAATTTGTGCTGCATAAAATAATGCAGTTCCTCCGCCATTATCCTTATCGTTTATAGGCGCTCCTCGGTCAAGGAGAAGCTTTGCAACATCTAAATGACCATTGATAGATGCTTCAATGAGTGGTATCCGGCCAACATTTGACTTAGCTGTTGGATCTGCTCCACGATCTAACAGTAACCTCACCATGCCAACATGTCCTCTTTCTGCTGCATATTTTAGTGCAGTTCCTCCGCCATTATCCTTATCGTTTATAGGCGCTCCTCGGTCAAGGAGAAGCTTTACCACATCTAGATGGCCATTACAAGATGCTTCAATTAGTGGTGTCCAGCCAACATTTGACTTAGCTGTTGGATCTGCTCCACGATCTAACAGTATTCTTACCACTCCAACATGTCCTCTCTCTGCAGAATGTTTTAGTGCAGTAATTCCACTACCATCCTTATCATCGATAAGCGCTCCTCGGTCAAGAAGAAGCTTCACCACATCTAAATGGTTATTACTACATGCTTCCATTAGTGGTGTCCAGCCATTAATTGATTTAGCTGTTAGATCTGCTCCACGATCTAACAATAATCTCACCACGTGAACATGTCCTCTAGTTGCTGCATGTTTTAGTGCTGTGATTCCGGCATCATCTTTATCATTGATAGGCGCTCCTCGGTCAAGAAGAAGCTTTACTACATCTGAATGGTCATTATGAGATGCTACAATTAGCGCTGTCCAACCAACATTTGACTTAGATGTTAGATCTGCTCCACGATCTAACAGTGTTCTCACAACGTCAACATGTCCTTTTTCTGCTGCATGTTTTAGTGCAGTAATTCCGCGCTTATCCTTATCGTTGATAGGTGCTCCTCGGTCAAGGAGAAGCTTTACTACATCCAAACGGCCATGAATAGATGCTCCCATTAGTGGCGTTATGCCGTCACCTGTTTTAGTTGTTAGATCACCTCCACGTTCTAACAATAAAGCCACCGCGCCAACTTGACCTAGTTCAGCTGCATAAAATACTGCAGTTCCTCCGCCATTATCCTTATAGTTTATAGGCACTCCTCGGTCAAGAAGAACCTTTACCACATCTAAATGACCATTGATAGATGCTTCAATGAGTGGTATCCGGCCAACATTTGACTTAGCTGTTGGATCTGCTCCACGGTCTAACAGTAATCTCACCATGCCAACATTTCCTCTTTCTGCTGCATATTTTAGTGCAGTTCCTCCGCCATTATCCATATAGTTTATAGGCGCTCCTCGGTCAAGCAGAAGTTTTACAACATCTAAATGGCCATTGATAGATGCTTCAATTAGTGGGGTCCAGCCAAAATTTGACTTAGTTGTTGGATCTGCTCCACGATCTAATAGTATTCTCACCACACCAACATGTCCTCTCTCTGCTGAATGTTTTAGTGCAGTAATTCCACTACCATCCTTATCATCGATAAGCGCTCCTCGGTCAAGAAGAAGCTTCACCACATCTAAATGGTTATTACTACATGCTTCCATTAGTGGTGTCCAGCCATTAATTGATTTAGCTGTTAGATCCGCTCCACGATCTAAAAGTAATCTCACCACCTGAACATGTCCTATTGTTGCTGCATGTTTTAGTGCAGTAATTCCGGCATCATCCTTATCATTGATAGGTGCTCCTTGGTCAAGCAGAAGTTTCACTACATCTAAGTGGCCATTATGAGATGCTCCAATTAGTGGTGTCCAGCCAACATTTGACTTAGCTGTAAGATCTGCTCCACGTACTAACAGTATTCTCACAACGTCAATATGTCCTTTTTCTGCTGCACGATGTAGTGCAGTCATGCCGCCCATATCCTTGTGGTGAATAGCTGCCCCATGTTCAATTAGAAATTTCACTACATCCAAATGGCCATAAATAGATGCCTCAATTAGTGGCGTCTTGCCGTTCCCCGTTTTAACAGTTAGATTTGGTTTCGTAGCAACGATCGGAACAATTTTATCATGGTTATCCTGTATGTTAACCCCTGCACCATGTTGAACTATAACTTTTACGACATTCAGAAATCCTTTGGCCGATGCTATATGGAGAGCTGTTTTTCCTTTTCCAGTTGTTGTATTGACATCTGCACCCATCTCTAGTAGGGTCTCGACAACAGATGGATCAGTAGCTATATGTAAAGGTGCGAGATTATCGTTGTTCCTTATGTTTAATGTCACCCTTCGATCTTGCAATATTTTGAGCATTTCAGTTGCATTATTCGAACGAACTATTAAGTGAACTAATGTGTCATTATTTTCAAATCTGAGTTTTGTAAAAATATTACATTTTAAAAATGCTCTCAACATATCAACATTCGATGTGACAATGGCCGAATGTAAAAGGCTCTTTGCTTCTTCTGGTATCAAAGAACTATTAACACATCTTTCCAGCAGGATATCCACCCCTTGGACATTTCTTCCTTTAACAGCTATCTGCAATGAAGTATTTCCCTGGTGGTTCCTTACGTCGGGGTCAAGTCCTGCCTCAAGTAACATCCGCAATGCTTCGTTCTTGCCTGAAGAAGCAGCAATATGTAGGTAAGAGTTACCTTTGAACTGCTTCTTAATATTAGAACCAGCCAATATCAGTGCCTTGATAGATGGAACGCTATTATTGTTTATAGCCTCTTCCATAGGGGTTTCACCAGCAGCATTGAAAACGTCAAGATCTGCCTTCAGAAACCCCAATGCAGCAATAGAGGAGGTACTTCCACTCCTTACGGCCAAATGTACGAGGCTTTCTCCCGACTGAGTCAACCCATTGATATTTGCACCTTCATTGGCTAGTGTGATAATTTCACAAGGGATGTTACTAACCACAGCATTTTCAAGTTCAACCACTAAATCACCATTTTGTTTCTGTAAAAACAAAAAAGCATATATATATAAATATATTTATATAGATTGTACAATTTTATAATTTATAACTTATTAATAATGATATTAAATATTTAATATTTAGTAAAAGATAGGGAGTTGGTTAGCTCAGTGATAGGGCATATAAACATAAAATTAAAAACGTCTCCCAAGTTAGGTGAGTATAGCTTCCTCACCGTTTTCATTGTATACTACAAGGTATACAATTTTTCGTATAAGAATAAAATTTCTGGGAGAAGTCGATTCGGAAATACAGTTACCATTCAACATTCAACAAAATAGTGCCGAATTTGAATATTCCATATTTGATTATCCTTAATAAAAAAAAAAAAAAAAATACATACTGAACATGAATTTCAATACTGTTAGTGCTAAAGGTCTTATGTAAAAATTTATTGTTTTACAAGAGTGCATAACAACTCATTATTTCTTTATGCTTTATTAGTATAATTTCATAATTTATTGTCATCTGCAATTTTCCATAGTAGCAAACTACTTATATCAGTTGCAGACTACAAAATGTCATATTTAATAAGAATAGAATAAAATTTGAAAATTTTTACATAAAACCTTTTGCACTAATAGTAGCGATATATCCAGATTTAATTTTTTTTTTTTGGGGGGGGGGAGGCTTCAGCCCGAAAGATATTTTTTCATATACATATAACGCTAATAATTTGAAAAAAAAAAAACGCTGCAAATTATTTCACTATGGTTTATTATTTCCAAACAATTACACATCTAAAGTAACATTACCTTCCTCGTTATAAATAAAAATAAATAAAAGGTGATTCCAATTATTGGTCTAAACTTTTTTTTTTAATAATTAGTATGCTAAAAAAATAGCATTACTTCAGTAACACATTCAAAATTTTAAAAACAAAAGCAAAAGATATATGAATTTGTATATATATATAAATTTAACCTTTACAGTAGAACATCTAAACAAAATCTGGTGCGCGCAACACACAACTTTCACTTACTCTTTGATCTTTGCTCAACTTCGAATAGAAATTATTTTCTGGCCATGTTGGGTTAATATAAAATTTTTGAATTGCATTTTTTACTGAGCTAAACCTAAAAAATTACAGTTAAAAAATCATAAATACTATTAAAATAACAAAAGTTCTATTTATTATATCACCGGCTGATTGTGGATTGTACGATCCGTTGATTATGGATTGTACAATAATAGATTTGCATTGTCTGTCATAGACTGGTCAAAAGTTGTCACACTAAGTGGATACTGTTGAAATATCACAAAAGGAAATTTCATCAAACTATTCACTAATTTAATTTTCTAAAAGGTTACTTGATGATTTTTTGTAATAAACGGACGATAGATACCTAAATATTTAAATATAATATCAGATCTGGATTTATTAAACTACAGTAAATATATTTAAGGTTATCTATGGAATATTCTTATATTTCTCTTTTTCTTTCACACAAGTACAATTATACAGTAGTGGATACTGTTGGAATATCACAAAGGGAAGATTCATCGAATTATACACTAATTTAATTTTCTAAAAAGTTAGACGACAATATTTAAGAATAAACGGAAGTTGATACCTAATTATTTAAATATAATATCGGATCTAGAAGTATTAAAATACAGTAAATGTATTTAAGGTAATAAAAATATGTTATATATATCCATGAAATGGTTTTAAATTTTACTTCTTCTTTCACACAAGTACAATGAAATAGTTTTTTAAACTAAATTTCAAATAAGTCATTGCCTTGATTAGGTAGATTTTAAATACTTTTATCAAACGTAAAAATGTTTACATTTAATATGTACATTTTGTCCACTATGCCTGGAGGGACACCCGGCCAACTAAAAAGGATGCCAAATTAACTAACTACAAAGAACCTCAAACCCAGACACCAGGAAAACCGGATTCAAGATGAAGCAGGAAGACCAAGAAGAGAGAGAGAGAGAAAACCTTCTAGAATAGTTAAAAACAGTGTATCATTTTCCTAGCTACTTAGAGGTAAGAACTCAACCGATAACTGTCAAGCCCTGCTTCAATAACAATCTCCATCCCAACCTCAAAATCCTATTGATCCGAATATACCTAACCATCAACAACAAATTCATCATATCCCTCCTCCTTCAAATGCAACAGATCTCACCAGTTTGTTAGCATCTTTCCTCGCCTCAAATCCTTAATTACTCCACTCATATCACTCCTCACAAATCTCGTATCTCACCTCATCCCTCCTTTAAAAATCTTTAAGGACTCACATCCCAAAACTCATATCCATTCTCCTTTGGAATGCGGATGGTGTTAGAAATCACGTTGATGAACTAACAGCTTTATTACTGGACAAGAACATCGACGTAGCACTAAATACGGAAACACGACTGACCAGAAAACAGCATTTAAAAATACCTCAATACATATCATACTGTTCTGACCATCCTGAAGGTAAAGCACATGCCAGTATTGCTGTTATTGTACACCACTCCCTTTCTCATCACCACCTCCCATTACCGACACACGATTTCCTACAATCCACCGCTATCGTAATCAAAACCTTCTCCTTTCCCGTCACCATAGCATAAGCATATTGCCCTCCTAACAGATCCATATCCAATATCCAGTTCAGTTCTCTTCTCAACTGCTTAGGACATCACTTCATCCTGGGTGGACATTTAAACGCCAAATATCATCAATGGGGTTCTAGAACCACGCATTCTCGCATTGTTATCTGGTAGAACATTGTTATCTGCACTCAATTCCCAACGTTTCAGTATCATTCCTCCTAATTCACCTAACTACTGGCCCAAAGACCCTAACCGCAATCCCGATATCCTTGATTTTTTCATCCACAGTGGCTTAGGTCCTCTCAATCATTCACTTACCCGTCTTGCCGAACTATCCTCAGATCATAGTCCATTATTACTCCAATTATCTCTATCTGCTATTCCTAACTCTTCTCCACCCTCCTTCATCAGAGGCCCAGTTAGTTGGAAACTCTTTCACCAAATCTTTTCCGATAAAATTGACCTCAGAATTACCCTGAAAACCCCAGATGACCTTGACAATGCCATACACTTTTTACCACCACTATGCAACAAGCAATCTGGACAGCTTCCTCTCCAAACCACTCCTCAAGAACTCCCAAGAAAAATAAGTTACCACAACACCTCATAGACGTAATCCACACCAAATGCAGTGCCAGATTATTATGGCAACGTAGTAGATACCCCACCGATCGTCAATCCTATAATTATTTCTACAAAAAATTAAAGCTAGAATTCATCTTCAGATCCCAATCCTTCAACTCCTACCTTACTTCCCTCTCTTTTTATGACAATTCCCTATGGAAGATCACAAATCCTAAAACCCCATCATATATCACATTCTCTCCGTCGAGGCGATGGCTCTTGGGCAGCGTCTGACGAAGATAGAGCCGAGGAGTTTGCCAAACACCTTTCCCTTACATTCACCTCTCATCCAGAATCCAACCCCACCTACACGTCAGCAGTAGAGGAATTCCTTAATTAACCCATCCCACTCTCCTTACTGCCTAAAGCAGTTAATCCTTCTGAGGTCAAATACCACTTATAAAAACTACCTACTAGCAAATCACCTGGATACGACATCCTTACCTCTCAGATCCTTAGAAAACTCCCTCCTAAAGGTCCCTACTAAACTCCCTCCTAAAACTCCATCCCTCCTAAATATTCCTTACATACATATACAAAGCATCCTACGAACCACCCACTTTCCTCTTTTATGGAAACATTCTATTATTATCCTATTCCCAAAATCAGGCAAACCTCCTAACAGCTTAACTTCCTACAGACCCATTAGCCTACTTCCAATCCTTTCAAATCCTTGAAAAGATTCTCCAGAAAAGAATCCTACCCTTTATAGAATCTCAAAATCTTCCTTCACACCAGTTCGGATTCCGCTCACAACACTCCACAGTCCAACAAGGACTTGGAGTGGTCGATCATATTTCCGCAGCCCTGAAAAGCAAGCAATATTGCTCGGGTGCATTTCTGGACATAGCTCAAGCTTTTGAACGGGTATGGCACGCTGGACTTCTTTTCAAAGTTAAAACCCATCTTCCTCAGTCCTTATACCTTGTCCTTAGTTTCTACCTCTCAGATCGTACCTTCCGAGTTCGCTGAGGCACTGAATTTTCATCCAATTGAGGCTGGTGTTCCTCAAGGTAGCGTATTGGGTTCCGTCCTTTACATCCTCTTTACCGCCGATATCCCGGTCTATCCCGATACCTTCCTCAACTTTTGCTGATGACACCGCCATTCTATCATCCGACTCAAATCATGATATAGCATCCTTAAACCTTCAAAGAAACCTCTTCCTGATTGAGCACTAGTGTAATAAATGGCGTATTAAAGTAAATGAATCCAAATGCCAACGCATCACCTTCACACTCCGACGCAGTTTCTCTCCACCAATACACTTTAATTCCATCCAGCTTCCTTTCTCAGACACAGTCCGGTACCCCGGATTTCTGTTGGACAGACGACTAACGTGAAACCCTGATACTAGATTTAAAATACAGGAACTTAACCGACGATACGGCCAACTATACATACTAAATAGAAAATCTAAACTCTCTATTGAAAATAAAATCTTTATCTACAAGACAATACTGAAACCTATTTGGTATTACGGACTTGAACTGTGGGAAACAGCAACATTTTCTCACATCAAACGCATCCAATCCTTCCAACCCAAAGTCCTTCGAACAATAGTCGACGCTCCTTTCTATGTAACCAACAAAACCCTACGTCGTGACCTCAACATCCCATATGTCCTAGATCTTATCCCAGAAAAATTCTCAAAATTTCACCAGAACCTTACTTATCATCCAAATCCTCTTGCACAATTCCTATCAAGCACCACCGATCCATATAATCCTCCTAGAAGGTTGAAACGGCAGTGGCCTCGACAATGTCGATGTTCCTTTCTATGTAATCAACAAAACCCTATATCATTACCTTAATATCCCATTTGTCCTATACCTTATCCCAGCAAAATTCTCCAAATTTCACCAGAACCTTACTCATCATCCAAATCCCTTTTCACAATCCCTATCCAGCACCACCCATCCCTATAATCCTCCAAGAAGGTTAAAACGGCAGGTGCCCCGCGACCTTTTATAGTTTGTAAATATGGTCGTTCTGGCAATTGCCAGATTCGCCACTCACAACTTGAGTGTATGTGGCTAAAGCACTTGCTCAATCTCCACTGAGTTTAGCCCCAGTGAAGCGGTTGAGAGAAAAGTGCATGGATCTCCTGGAATCCATCCCTATTTGGAGGGACAAGTCTGACTTCTCTGGCCAGATTGTAAATATTGTATAAATGTATGTATGTGTTCTTTTATTCATTTATTTTTAGGTCATTTTATTCTTATCTATTGTATATATATTATTTTTCTGTATAATTCATTTTATTTATTGTACATAGAATGTGAATGTGATCTCTGAACACTATTATAAAATATACAGAATGTAATATTTTTCAATATATAAGTAAATGAGTTTCAATATTAAAAATAATAAATAAATTAATTTGAATAACATTTATGGTATGGTAAATTTTACAAGACATTTTTTTTATACAAATTATAGTTAAATAAATAATGAGAAGAATAATGTCTGCAACGTTCTATGATAGTACGGTAAGAAATTTGTACGTGAATTTCATTTAATTTCCTTGAAAACCTGTGATTTACGTTAAATAATATTGGTTTTCAAATATTATTATTTATATATTTGTTGCCACTCTCCGTTACCTTCCAATACTTTCTATATTAGATATTGTTTTTTTCTAAAATTCTCCGCTTCCCAACGATATATTATATGTATACCTTCTGACCGGTATTTCCGGAGATTCATTTTCCACCTGGATAAGGATTTTAATTTTTTTCTCATTTATTAACTTATCAAATTCTTTTAAAGGTTATATTTAGGATTTTTTCGTAACTGTGAATAATGTGAGATAATTAACTTTTTGAAATAAACCATATTAAAGGTACTTTAGAGGAAGACGTATATGAACATTGCGCATTTAAGACCTGTAAAGTGACATCAACGGGGATAAGACCTAATTGATATTAAAGACCACTTAATTATACAATGATACACCGAGTTTAATCAAAACCGTTAGAGTCGTTTTTGAGAAAATTGTGAAAATGTGTTTCAGCGTTGATATAAAGTGGCTTTTTGGGACTTATTTATAGGAGTTATATGGACTCAGGTTAGTGCAAAACGTGTATTACCGTTGAAAACTTAGATTTAAAAATTTTCTCGATCGCAATACTTACCCTTACTATATATTATATATATTCGTAAGTGAAAGTAAAAACGGAGAGGCAATAGTTTCCTCATTATATCTACTTGTTAAATAATCACTAATATTTCGCAGTATATATTTAATAGTTTAGTTTTAAAATTTATTACATAAACCATTTTTTAAATATAGTGTAGCCAAGAAAAATACCGATCACTTAAACGAAAAAACACAAAGAAAAACCTAGGAAATGATTTAGATTTCTTAAACAGAGGCATACATATAAATGATTTTTGTATATAAATACATATTGTTACAATTAGCAAGAGTAACCCAGCATCAGGACCCCCCCACCACCTTGGAGGGAAAAAGAGTAATCTAGAAGTTCCAATGATTCCTCTCAAGTACGTCATGCATTCTAAAAGTAAGTGCAGGTTTTGTGGGAGCTCCTTAGTCACAGAATAAATTATATTAATATAGCGTTTTAATGTTAAAAAAATCATGCATATTTTAAAAGTTAATATCAAAGATAAATCGTGAAAACATACTTTCGTTCGCATACTAATCCCATAGCTATCAGCGAGGGAAGAGTAAACCGTGAAGACTTTTGAGTCTAGGACCAATGCTCCACCAACTACCATAGAGTCGAGGCGACCCATTGCAGTTTTCATGTCATCTTCCGGGAACTAAAATCCTCCCTCAGCCAGAGTGCGACGTGCCTAGACCGCACTTGCTGGATTCGATTTGAGCAATCAGCCAGGATAGTGCAAGATTCCCTATCTTGAGTTGCCAGACAGTAGAGGAGAGACAATAGAAGAGCTTGTTGACTAGTGAACTCTGTTACTGCAGGAGTGATGAGATCGTAACGGTACGATTTCGCACCGTAGTCCAATCCATCTTGCAACATTTCATTGGTAACGTCGGGGCAGAGATAGCTCACAAGTGTTTTCGGTTCGAAGATGACCTGCGACGTTCCCACAAACTAAAAACAAAAAAAATCACAGATATCATTGCTATATCAATTAAACATTTTAATACTTCACTAACATCACTATTTGAAATATTAATGGCATGGTCATACTTAAGTCTTCTAGACTTAGAGTTAGCCCGTTTTCCTGTTCGCCACTTATCCGTCGAGCTTGGTTCAAAATATTTTACATAATTTTTAGGGATTTGACTTTTTAAGTTTTTCCTTATTATTATTTTTTATTGATATAATAGTTACAACTGTATTACAAATAAAAATACATTCAGTAAATGTGAACACTAGAATATAATAACACGAAACCACTTGTTGAGAAACAATCCAATGGTTGCACTCTAAAAATGTATTTACAAAAGGAGATCTCGAGGCCGTCTTCTTTTCAGACTTCTCGGAGGGTTGCCAGAGATCGAAGAGGAAGCAACGTTGGAAACGAGAAAAATTAATGGCCTCTTTTGTCTTTTGCAGAATTTTTAAGTCTAGTTTGTTTTCCAAATCATTACAAAATTTGTCCCAGTTTACTCGTCCTGTAATCAATTTAGGATTTGATGGTTTAGGAGCATAGCTTGAATGTAGTGTAAGTAGAACTGGACTGTATTCTGAAGAAAGGTCATCAAGGGATTTGATTATGGCTTGTGAGGAGGAAATCTGGGAAGTGATAAATATATCTAGGATATCGGGACTTTTTTTGAGGGATGTTGGCCAATAAGTAGGATTCATGGGCGAAAGGATTGAATAATTGTTGGAAGATGAGACGCGTGATAGGATGTTACCGCGGGAGTTGGGTGTTTGACAACCACATCGTTGGTGTTTATTATTGTAGTCTCCTCCAGCAATGAAGCGCGATCCGAGGGATTGGAATAAGGAATCAAGGAGGTTATAGGAGAGGGAATTACCTGGAGGACAGTATACAGCTGAGAATGTGAACTGAAAAGGGCGAGTTGAAAGGACTACAGAAGTTGATTGACTGGCATCAGTTGGAATGGAAGGAATAAGGGAATGGAGTAACGATTTATTAAGATTATAAAAAAAAAAAAAAAGAAAAACGACATTTTTTGTACAAACGTTGCCGTAAATTTTTTATTCGCTTTGATAATGATAACTCAAAACAGACATGTTAAAGGTATAAGAAAGGTTTATTATTTCCAAGAAACATTGTAATCAACTGAGAAAAAATAAAAGCCCCAATAACCAAGTACCGCAAGATGGTCTGAGTATTTTTCCAACAACCTATCAAACAAGGGGAGCTTAGGGACATGGGATCACCGATTTCAATGAAACTTATATAGTGATAGATGGTCGAAAAATATTTGACCCATTTCCGAGGGTTTTGTGAATGCGCCCTAGGAGATGAGAAAAAAAGTATTTTATAATCAGCAGATATAAGATACATAAATCCCTAAAAAGATAGATTGCTTTGTTTTTCTGTAAAATCTTGATTGTCATATTTTGTAATTTTCTCACTATCCAACTCTTAATAATAATAATCCGTTATAAGATTTTTATTTCTCTTATTCATATTATTATTTTTTATGTTAAAATTGTTTTTTGTTATTTTATATTGGCTACTATCTTCCGTGTTATCTTTATTTTTTTTATTCATAAATGTATACCACAGTTTGTGGATAAATTTATACGAACAATAATTTTTTACCAATATATATATATATATATGTATATATATATAAATTTGTATAATTTATATAATTTTATATATCATAAATATTCACATATTTAGTGTTCGTTAGTTTTATCGTTTTTTAAATTAAATTAACAGCTGTATTAATAATAAAACCACCTATTTGATCACTATAGTCCTACTTGATATGTTTTTTACATCAACGTTACAGCCCTGATGCCAATATCTAGGGAAGAAACCTTTAACTAATAAAAAATCATCACAGCTTAATTACATTTGATAATTAATTATTTTCATTTAATACTCTTTTTTACATCTCTAATTCAATAATTAAAATCATTATGGACTGAATAGCCCTTGTCAATTCCATTTAACAGGTCAAACACTAAACCCTTCCTCCATAAAATTATGTTTATTTCAAAACCTCATTATATTGTCACAATCCCAAAATTAAAATTTACATTATTAAAACTATCTTTACATATTGCTAAACTAGTTAATAAATATTACATTAAAATTAAATGCATTCACTGCCTTATTATCATTTCACCTTCTTTAGAAAACAATAATTTTTATTTTTTGACATTTAATTTCACAACTCATCACTCTAAAATATATCCAAACAGGTAAAATTTTCATTCTTTTTGCATTTCATAACTTTATAAATTAATTCTGCTTATTATTTTCGCATAATTCTATGTAAATTTATGTTATCTGTAATGTACAGAGCTTATAATTTTTTTCTCTTTGGGGTGTTTTTTTTTACTCTTTTTTTTTTTTTGCAGAACTTCAACCTTCTCAAAGTCAAAATCATGCTCCTTATTGAATGTGTGCTATTGTTTTTTCTTGTCTTTTTAAATGTTTTTTTATTTCATTATGATGCTGGTACATTCTGTCATTCAAATATTGCTTCGTTTCTCCAATGTATATTGCTGGAAAATTCAAGCATGGAGCCTTATATCCATCCAGTTTGATTATTGTTTTCCAATTTTATCCTTTAAATTACTATAAAAGTTTTTTATTTTGTTCTTAGGTCTAAAACTTAAGACATCCTCTCCCACATCATAATCATTAAAGGGCCTCTTTATATCTTCTGACAATCCCTTAATGCAATCACAACCATAATACTTTTTTTTGACTTACCATTTGGTCTGTCTACCCTATTTGCACTTTCTGTGTTTATTCTTCGAATTCTATTCCCAAAATTTCTTTATTTACCTTTTGTGAGTTTGTGACAATATAATGGGTTTTGGAAATAAACGTAACCTTATAGAGGAAGGTTTTAGTGTTTGACCAGTTAAATGGTGTGACAAGGGCTATTCAGTACATAATGATTTTTAATTATTGAAATAGTTATGTAAAATTTAGTATTAAATAAAAAATTAATTAGCAAATGTAAGTAGGCTGTGGTGATTTATTATTTGTTGAAGGTTTCTTCCCTTAATATTGGCCTAAGGGCTGAAACGTTGTTGTAAAAAACAAAGGAAATAGTACTATAGTGATCAAATATGTGGTTTTATTATAGATATTAAAGTGAAGTCCTAACCTACAAGTTTGCATACATATAATTAATTAACAGCAGTATTTATAATCTGATTTTTAGGGTGGTTCGAGTGATAATTTAATATGAGATGGCAGCGTTGTTTTTTCCTTGATCCAATATTTGTATATATGATTATTATTCATTAGAACATTAATATCTAAATATTTTATATTATTGTTTATAAATTTTTCCATTGTAAATTTGATCCTTTTATTTCAGAAAAGTCATTATGTACTATTTTAGAGAGTTAAACTAGTGAATAGAATGAATTTCTCCTCAGTGAAATCACAACAGTATGCAATTAGTTTGACTATCTTTGTATTATCGATGGTAAATATATGGTAAATTTAACAAGGGAGAAAAATAAGAGTTAAAAAAATCTTTATCAGTTAGTCAAATCTTTGAAAGTTAATTAAATATCTCACACCTTTCACTCGTATTTATTAAAAGCTGATAAATATTATATTTCTGTAATTTTACTATGCAGTACAATTCATATTAATTAATTGTGTTCTTTCAGATCTCTCTCCCAATATAGGGCTCGGAGACTAGAGCTAGACTAGAGCTTCAAACAGACTGATGAAGTTAAGAAGTTTCTACTACCTACCTCCGATATTACAAATAGGGTGTGCGTTTTTTTTAAGGTCGTAATGAGTTTTTAAATTTATAAATACCTCTGAAAGATTTAGCTCTATTAAAAATGCACTTGCTGCATTTTTTAGTTGCTTCTTTCCGATATCAATTGAAGTTTATGTCACTGAATTAACAAAATTGATTCAGTTTTATAATTATAATTCAGTTTAGCGGTGAATTATCTTAACGATTCCAACTCAAAAGTAAAAAACAAATAATTTTGTTTTTTAGTAATCCCAACTTATTCCATAACAAACTTCAACTTAACTAACCTGAACTTAAAGTTTACTAAACTAGAAAGTTTTTATAAAAATATGGTAACTGCAATCATGTTGGAAAGAGATAAAGAAAGAATCACAAAAAAATCGACGATTTTTTCAAAAACAAAACAGTCTTGTTTAGCTGCTTAATGGTCCCCTTTAAATGGTTTTAATAATGAAAAACTTTATTTATGTTCAAAGTAGATTTCGTTTTTTTCGCTATAAAGCAATCGCTAATAGCTTAAATTCAATATTTTTTTAGTTATCATGTTTTGTTTAAAAAAAAATTGTGACTCGCTTTAAAAAAATAAAACTTAAATTTCCTACTTTTCTGCAGATGATCAGACCATTCTTTATATCAACTTTTCGTAGTTCTTGAGCTTTGCTGTAACTCCTTTTGAATATATTTCTTCAAACCCTGTGCAATTAAGTAAAAGAATATTCTGAGGCTGATGATCATGAACTTACCGTTGAAGTTCGTGTGAATGCCGCCAGTAGCAGAATTGTAAAGTCCACCATTTCTCAAATGAAGTGGCAGAATAATATTGTCTGAAACAAATTTTCGAAAGATGATGATTAATTAATGATAACATACGATTACCTGATGATTATTGTATGATTTTTATTAATCTGAGAGAGAAATAAGCCTGTTTGTTAAAAGCAAATTTAACCAAGTTGCAAGTCTAAGTATCTTCACTACAGATGCATTGTTAATTTTTTTTTTTGTTTCTTTATGACATTTACAACTGTATTACATAAATACATCAAGTAAATTTGGACATAATTGATATAATGACATGAATACACATGCTGAGTAGCTACCCAATGATAGCACTCTAATGATATGACCACATTAGGAGATCACGGGGCCATCTTCTTTTCAGACGCCTCGGAGGGTTATCAGGAATTGAAGAGGAAGCAAGGTTAGAAACGAGAGGGTTGGGATGATTTTGAAGTTTATTATGGAAGGATAGGTATCTGGATTGGGCCAGATCTGAAACATAAGGAACATTAAGATCTTTATGGATAATTTTATTAGTGACAAAGTAAGGAGCATTGAGGATTTTACGAAGGATTTTGGATTGTAAGGATTGGATGCGAGAGGAATTCGATGGTTTAGTGGAGCCCCATAGCTCAACTCCGTAAGTCCAAATAGGTCTTATTATAATCAAGTATATGAGTCTTTTGTAATTAATGGGAAGTTTAGAGCGTTTGTCTAGTAAGTGCTGAAGTAATCGGAAACGTCGAGCGGTTTCTTGTCGTTTCAGTCTAGTATGAGGATTCCAAGTTAGTCGTTTGTCCAGGTGGAGTCCTAGGTATCGGATTTGCTCAACAGGGATAAGTGGAGTATTGTTATAGGAAACTGTAGGACAGGAAGTCGTTGGTTTACGACGAAGGGTAAAGGTAATTTGGTGGGATTTATTGGAGTTTATTTTAATTCTCCAGTTTTGACACCATTCTTCTAGATTTATGATGTGTGATTGAAGCATTTGGGATGCAATTGCTGGGTCATTGTTTACTGATAGGATAGATACATGTGTCATCGGCATATGTGGTGATGACAGTGTTGGGACAGGTAGGGTTGTCAGCTGCATAAACTGTATACAGGATAGGACCTAGGATACTACCTTGAGGAACGCCAGCGGACTGGGATTGTTAATTTATAATGTGAAAAAGCTTTAAGTAGTAAAATCTCTCAGTAAGGCCTATTTTACCTCACTTTCGTTAAAAAAAAAAAAGATAAAACGTTTTTTTGGATGACCAAGATTTCCAGTGATCGTACTACGAGATAAAAAGTCATATTGTTTACATCCAATAAGTGGATGTTCTAGAGTGAATTGAACTTAAGCCACTCGTCGAAATATTAACGACAGTCAAGAGACCGAGAGCTTCTCTCGATGCTCCCAAATCGTACTTTAGGGAGGATTGTATTAATAGTTATTATACAGTACCTAATAAAACACTAAAACAATTTTTTGAAAAGTATTAACGGAATATCCAGGATGAAAGATTTTGGCTTCTGCCGGCCCAGGATTTGACACTATGAATTAAAAAAATCCCACAAACAAAGACAAGTAAATTGAAAGACGACCAAAAAGTCTGCTTGAGTCGACTAATTTTTGCATTTGAATTAAAATATGCCAAAAACTAAAATTCGGAGCTGCATACTGTAATCGAGAGGAATTTTTAGCATTTCGTTCTCTTTGTTCGTAAATTATTGGCGCAACACACGCATCTAGCGGCCCTTGGCCTGCTCATTTTTTTTTTTCTCTGTCATCTTTGTTGGCAGCGCACCTGCGGAGATATGTGGATATTATATTCTTATATGCCGTATCTTCTTTTACGTTATCTATTCACCTTGCTCAGAGATGCTGAGCTTGAAGTACCCACCACTTATTAGAAATTTAAAATGTAATACAAAACTTATGAGAAAAATTGATTTTAGACCATTAATAAAGCTAATTGATACTGCAGTATACGAATAAAACTCTTTATTTATGCTATATTTACATATACCTCTTTCATTAAATATTTCATTACGTTTTCTCGGTAACAACACAATCTCTACTACATTCACTGTAACTTAAAAGTTTTTTACACAACGATTTACTTGTTTTAAGTTACAGATTTTTAAAAAAGGCCATAGGGAAGAATTGAAACATCGTAGATTTCATTTTGTGAGATAAGAATATGCGCCAGGACAAGATTGATCAGAAAATCTCAAAACCTCATTTTCCAAAGAAATTGTCCTTACGGGATCGAAAAAAGGGAAATTTTTAGATCGTAAATTTAAATGTTCTACTTGAAATCCAAAAGTGTGGGGTAACTGACTATTATTTCATGTCTTAGGACAGTATATAATATAAGTTTTGTGGGTTGGTAGCTTTCAATATATATAGACCCTATTTATATCTAAGTTTCCTACCTATATTGAGTCTCTATCTATCTTCAACTAGTCACTATTTTATATTCCAGTGGCTATATGTTGGTAGACGTGCCTTTTTCTCATCATGCCTGAGAACACGGTCTATTCATAAGGATAAACCTAAATATGAAATAAGCCAGGGGCTTCCGGACTAAAAAGCCAATTTGCAGAAGACAATATAGATATTTTTTTAATTAGCTGTAAAAATAAGAAATACAGTATATTTAGCTACTACAGTAGTACTTTTCAAGGACACTCAATGTTCTTTATATAAGGTGTCTTTATATAAGAATATAAAAGCCCTTATAGGTACTTTCAAAATTTTGATTTTACTTCAGGCGACATTTCGAGCTGAACAGCTCATTATCAAGTTATCTACCAATAACAACTTGATCAAACAAAGATAATTTACAACTCTGGTCGCTTATTATCTAGTCATATAACGAGGGAGAACTTACCAAAAACATTTTTTTATAAAACTATGTTTATAAACTTCACTCGGTATTACTGGATAATGAGTCACCAGAGTTTTAAATTATCTTTGTTTAATTGTTATTTGTAGATGATTACTTGATAATGAACTAATCAGCTTGAAACGTCGTCGGAAGTAAAATAAAAAAAAATTAAAAGTATAAGGCCCTTGAAGACACCATATATAAGAAAAAAGAAATCAAGTTTTTCTATTCGATATTCTGCAGCACTCGATGGTATTTCGACATAATACAGAAGTTTTATTAAAAAATATAAGTACCAATACCGCATAATCCAATACACCAATAACAAGAATTCACTAAGCCAATTATCATTAAGAGAGGTAAGATTGTATGGGCTGTAATTTATATATTACATTTCCAAACAAATCAAATTTGATTGCTTCTGATTTATTTCTTCCTGTAATGCAAGAAACCGATTGTTACATTGTAATAGTATGATACAATTATAGTTAATACAGAAGAAAAATAGTTTATACACAATTAAATTATATATACAGATGTAATTGTAATAAAATATTTTTTTATTCTTGATTCACAAAGTAATATCATTTACTCTATACACAGTTATAACTTTGTATAAATTGCTCTGGCAAACATTACAAATGTTATAGTTTAATGAATATTGTAAAAAAAATCTTATAGTTATCTATCTCTATTTGATACAAATTAATTATTCACGATTTAAATATTATGATTTATGTTATCTTATCAAGATGTTGATATTTTTGGCATAATCTCAAATATTGTACTGACAGAAATATATAAAAAACAAATGCAACAGCGAGGTTCCTTGGAGCGATATACTTTATGATCACTAAATCTTTTCTAGACAAAATATTATGAAAAATCTCTGCCAAGTAAGGTCAGTGTAACTCCCTCAAAAAATTCACTAACAAAATACAGAAAATTAAGTCCTATACATATTTAAAGCTTATCGATGGATACATCCTACACTTCGTACATCCTACGGTTCAAAATGTAGGCGTGTAATAGCAATACGTTTTTAGATTCGAAAGTGGAAGAATTTTCTGAAAGTAGGGGATGGAATTTTCTGAAATGGATATCTACTTGATTTTCTGTCACTACTTGCCTTCAACTTTGAGTCAAATCAAAAGAGTCGTTTATACTGAAATATTGGCATAGCTAAGGAAATATATTTGCGCGTGCGTAAGGGGAAGTACTAGGTGGAATTTGATTCCCTAACAATTTCATGAAAATCGGATAAACAAGAATGGGTGATATGCCCGTTACATCGATTTGACTGTAGACAAACAGATGCCGAAACTAATTTGATCATTGATGTCTGAAACATAAAACGTGAGTAGAATTTTTCGAATCTGAGCGTATATATATTTTTTTAACCTCCGGAATACAAAGCTTCCCTACCTTCGGTAGTAAGCAAGAAATGTTTAGTAAAATAACTTTTTAAACGATAAGCGGTAATTGAACAAAAAATAAATAATGTGGTGAAATGTTGGTTTAAATCAAAATATGCAGAATGACATTAACTTGACATAATGTTCATCACCTTCATTTATAATAAATAAATTTTAAATAAATATATGAATGTCACTCACTAACAGTATGCTCGCTGTGCAGCTGCGCTGGTGAATAATCCCCCAATCAGTCCTCTAAGCATTATATATTCTTACTCATAACTGATTCTTACTGGTTATAATTGGCAGCATGGAAAATCCCAATGAAAAAACATAAATAAAAAAAAACCATCCGGCAGATAACTCGTAGATAAATAGCTACGTTATGCTTTGACATATTTAATATTGACGCACAAGGAAAATAATTTCGTTGTATATAGCAATAAATCAATTTTCAAAAAGCAGCGTTATTTTTTAATATATTCAAAAACTTAACTTTAAGGCTCTGAAGCAGATCTGGGCAAAATGTATTTAAATTATTATTTTAAAATACCATGTCTAAAAAATACAAAATATCTTATGTTTGTAAAAGGGCTTTAAATAACATTTTGTTTTTTTATTTTTGTCAGTTTCCGTATAACCGGAATCGTTATATTAAATTTTTTAGTTATTTCGGAGCCAGATCTTTTCCTCTTGCAACTTTCAAGTAAACGTTTTACATAATATTTATTTTTAAATAACTTTTATTCAAAA